GCTTACTGCTTCTTGTTTCCTGGAGTTGGGATGATACTACTTCAAGAAGGAGTAGGGCCATGCAGAGACCTGTACTTTAAGGTTGTGGATTGACTTAATCTGGCTCTATTTATAAACTTTAAGGATTGAATCCTAAAGAGAAAATATAAATTTAGCTCTTACTATAATTGGTTATTTGATATGCAAGTATTCATTTACTAGCTAATATCTTTAAAATAATGCACCTATTTTTATTCAGCTATATTGCTGATAACCAATTTATCATTTTTCAGAGGAAGCCCGTTTGCGAGGTGAACAAGAAGAAGCAGAAAGATTCGAAAAGGAGAGACTTGAACAAGAGAAGAGGGAAAAACTTGAAGCAAAAGTTAGTTTAAAGCCATCTTAGTAAATAACTCTTGAAAACAGTTACTACGTTTCTTTATATTATGTTTTAAAAGTTGGCTAATCCATTATAAGAAAATAGAGATTTTTCCTCATCTCCTTCATTATGGAGCTAATATGGGAGACTTTTCAGTATTTTTGAATCAGCATTAAGTACCAAAATTCTAATTAGGGGTGCACCAATACCGATTTTTGGGGCTGATACTGATAGCCAATTTTTAAGGAGGCATATTGGCCAATACCAATCCCAATCCGATCCGATTTGCAGCCCGGCAGCGTTCAGAGTAGTGTCTAGCTGGTAGGACTGTTGTGGTAGAAGGGGAGAAGGAAAGGAAGGGACATGTGGGGTGCATGTCCATGGATCTACATGGGGCGGGCTGCTGCTACAGTTTGGGGCCAGGGCTGTGCTGGGCTCTTTCCAGTGGGGGCTGGGCCGGGCTGCACTTCAGGTGGGCAGTGGCGGCGCTGGGAGGGGAGCTACGGGGGGGGCTGCAGTGACCTCAAAATATGCTGCCCCCACCATGCCTCTTCCACACACCCCCACCTGGAAGAGCCTGGCACAGCCCAGACTCTAGCCCGCATTGGCAACCCGCCTCACACGCAGATCCGGGGGCACATGCCCCCCATGCCTTCCAGGGTGCGTACAGCAGCAGAAGCCGCCCTCCCCTCCCCGTGCCCCCCAGACGAGCCATGGCTCCGTCCCGCACCCTGCTTCATCCCAGCTGGGCAGCACCTGTCCCTGTTCCAGCTCCATTCCCTCCCTCACTGTGGGGGCCTTGATCTCCCCCCCACCACCGTTTTTCTCCCCTCTCCCCTTCCACAACAGACTTACCAGCTGGACACAGCTCTCCATGCTACCGGCTGTGCTCCTTGCAGCGTACGTGCTGTACTGCAGCTGTATTCATGCACGGGGCATTTATCAGCCACATCGGGCAAAAAAGCTGATTTCCGATACAGTCAATTTTCTTTACATCGGTGCTGATCTGATGCATCAGTGCACCTCTAATTCTAATGATTATGTATGTTTCCTTTTTTACTTGATTCCAAGACAAGCTATTCCTTCCCTAGTCAACATAGGAAAACCAAGCCTTAACTTAGAATTGGGTGTACCTACACATGCATTTAATGAGCATTAAGCTAATGGACATTAAGAGATTTTTGGCAGGTGTTTACACATGCAGGGACTTGGCGCTAAACATAGTGTACTTGGCACAAAAGTTAGTGCCAAGTCTCTGCAGCCCTGCCATGTGCCCCTAGTGGCTGGGCAGACCTAGCACTAAAGTTAGCGCCAGGTCATGTCTACACACGCACCTCATTTGCTTTAGCCTAATTTCACCATTTTTAATTAGCATTAAGGATGCACACGTGTAAACACGTGCCCTTAATGCACATTAAATTAAGCTAATGGGCATTAATGTGTCTTGTGTAGATGCACCCATAGAATATCAAACTGCTCCAGTTGTGAGTTGTGAGGAGCAGATGTTCAGGGACCCCAGACTCCAGCTCAGCTGGAGACAGCATCAGCAGTGCATACGGTTCCTTCTTCCAACATCTGCTTCTTGCTCATCTCTTCTCCTCCCCCTCACCACCATCTCTCTCATTGGCAGATACTGGAAGGAGCAGATACTGGAAGGAGGAACCTGCACACCACTAATGAAGTCCCCAGCCAGGCTGAGGTGGAGGTGGGGGCACTTTAATTAGAGTGTCACTGAGAGCCGCTTTAATTAAAATGCCCACAGCATCATGTGTCTTCAGCATTCCACACTTCAAAATGGTGGTGGGGGCACTTTAACTAAAGCTCGTTCGATAAGCTTTAGTTAAAGAGCCCCTGTCACTATTTTGAAACACGGGAACACTGAATACACATGATGCGGAGGCTGCTGAAGCATGCTCCAGCAGACTCACAGCAGACTTATTTAATCAAGTCTGCTGCAATGCTAATTAGCACGTGTCAGAGGAGACATCAGTCATGTATAGCAAGTGCCCCTTGTACTCCCACAGCTCCCAGCTGAACTGATCTGACCATGGGCAACTGGTGCTACTTTCAAATGGGGGGGGGGGGGGGTGCCCCCCCCCCCCCCCCCCCCAGCAATCAGTTATTGACCGGGGGATCCCTCCGTGGCCAATCTCACCAAGGGGGGTGGTTTCCCCACGACAAATCATGCCAAGCAGGAAGCGGCCGCAGCTGCGGCACTCCCGAAAGTGACCACAGCGCTTCCAGAAGTGGCTGCAGTGCTTCATCCGGCACTCCCACTCCCTGGCCAGCGCTCGCGGGGGGGAACACCTGCGTTCCTGCCTGCCCCCCATCCGTTTCCTAAATGGAGAGCACTGCCTTTCGGGGGGTGCACCAGAGCTCTCAGGAGGTGCACATGCACTCCCTACACATTGCCACTGGATCTGGCTGCCGGCTGACAGATTTGTAGAATGGGGGAGCTCTCAGAGCCATTCCTGACCAGCTCCTGCCTTGTGCTGTAAGAAGCAGCTGTGGCAGTATGCAGGTTCCTCCTTCCAGCTTGTTCCTGGTCAGCTGGGGATATAGCATGGAGCTGGACAGGGAGGGAAGAACCTGTGCTGTCCCCAGCCAAGCTGGATTCCTGCACAGCCACTCCCAACAGCTCTCAGCTAGAGTGGTCTGCAGGCAGGGGGGAGCTCAAGAACCACTTCTGCCCTGCTCCTGCTCCTGCTCCTGCTCCTGCTCTGCACTGCGGGGAGCAGCTATGTGAACATCCCATCTTGGCTGAGGACAGCAGTAGTGGCATGCAGATTTCTTCTAGTCACTTGTCCCTGACAGAGAGGGATTGGGGAGGAGAGCTAGGCAGGGAGCAGATGCTGGAAGGAGGAAACTTTGAGGTGCTGATACTGTCCTTGGCTGAGCTGGGCTCCCTGCAACCAGATCAGCTGGGGACAGCAGCAGGAGAGGGCAAGCTGTAGGTCGTGGAAGGCATTCAGTTTCTCTTATGCTTGAGGCAAGTGGTGGAGAAACAGCTGGTGGGGGGGGGAGTGTAACTGATGGGGGGTTGGTCCCAGGGGGGCAGGCACCAGGGGGTATGGAACAGAGAACAGGCCACCTTCCTCTCAAGTTGTTTGCCTCCCTGCCACTTCCTCCATTGATTCTGCTTTCCCCACTGCAGTAAGGAGGATGAATTTAAGAGAACCCCACAATAATCAAATTCCATACATGGAAAATTAGAACAAATCTATAATTTTCCATGCATGGAATCTCATTATTGGGAGGGTCTTCTTAAATTTGAAGTTATCTTGCATTTGGATAAATACAGTACTCTAAACAAGGCAATGAGTTAGGTTGGTGATTAAATATCAGAGTTTTATGGAAAATGAAGGATAGTGTGGAAAGTGTGTGGCAGGAGTGGCCTCCTGTGATCCAGCAGGACAGTGTGGCAGGAGCAGCCTCCTGTGATCTGGCAGGCCAATCAAGGGCCCCGCACTCTGCTGAACTTGCACACTGGTGGCTATAAAGGTGCTACCAACTCCCCAGTAGCAGAAAACCTCCTGTGCTGCTCCAGGACTGTGTGATGCCACTACTTTTCTGTTCTCTTCACTGCCAGAACTGGAGCTGGAGCCATGGCAGGAGTGAGGTGAAGGGACAGAGGCATAGTACTGGCCGTTATGCCTCAGACAAAACTGGTATACCAGGGGTGGGCAAAATACAGCCCGCCAGGCCATTCTATCCAGCCTGCGGGGCCCTTAAATTTTCTTTTTTTTAATTAATATTTAACTGTCCCTGGCTCCTGTCAAAAATGACAGGAGACAGGGGCAGAAGGACCCAGGGGAACCCACGTCAGGCCCCTGGAACAGGAGGGTTTGCCTGCCCCCGCCCCCCCGGCCAGAAGCCTCTGCCTAGCAGAGGCTTCTGGCCTGGGACCATGGGGCTGCTCGTGCCTGTGTCATAGTGGGAAATTCAGGTAAGAGCGGGGGAACAGGGAGGCAGGGGAGGACCACAGGTAATCACCCCAGTTCTCAGGCTGGGCCGGCTCCTGCTGAGTCCCACAGTCTGGTTACGTAGCCAGGAGCGAGTGGGCGTACGGGAGCGAGCAACAGCCGGGATCCTTTTGCCCAGACAAGGGAATGCAGGGCATGCGGGTTCAGGGCTGTGCACACTGGTCCTCGCCTGACCACGGGGCTGGGGTGGGGGGCTAGGAGCGAGTGGGCACATGAGAGCCAGCACCAGTGTTCCATGGCAGCTCCCCTCTCTCCCTGCTGGCACAGCTCAGCCCAGCTCCATAGAGCCCAGCCAACCGCACTCCAGGCTTCTGGCACCCCGTTCTAGGCCCCACTGGCCCTGGGGCACTGCCAGGTTGTCGCTGGCTCCCGCACACTTGCTCGCTCCCAGCTCCCCAGCCCCACGGTACAGGCAGGGACCAGCACATGCATTCCTTACCCCACATACTCCGCGCTTGCCCATTTGGACGAAAGGATTGGGCCCCGGGCCATGTGGGTGGCCGCCTCTTTGGCAGCCTGGCCTGGAGCCGGGTTGTCATGGAGATTTGCATCGGGCCCGTGGCCATGTTTGCATTACAGCAGCTTCTGTTGCCACCAGGAGGCCAGGGACTGCCAGGGAAGGGCCTGTCCTACCCTGGTGGCAGTGCAGGGGGAACCCAGAGCCACTGGGGGCGGTGGGGACATGACACGGTAAGCACAGGGAGGCAGTGTGGAAGTTCAATTGCATGCCTGAAGCTTGGGGCGGTAATGCTCCCAGCTGCAGGTACCCAGCCTGGGGTACAGGAAGCCCAGGGAGGCCACAAGAGCTTCCAGAGCAGAAAAGCGGCCATGGACCTGATCTGACTCCTGGTGCAGCCTCCCTATCTGTCCCAGGGCTGGGGGGTGAGCTGTCAGTGGGCCTCTGGCGCCCTGCAGGGCAGGGGTGGGTGGGCCTTCCCTCTGGGGTGGCAGTGCTCACTGGGGCCACCCATGGGGAGGGCAGCTGGGCTGTTGCTGCCCCAAGTCTCAGGTACGCAATGTGACTTCCACACTGCCTCCCCACGCTTCCCATGCCCCGGGCCACATCCCTGCCTGCTTGTGCCATCCCGAGCAGCTCCAGGCACCCCCTGCGCTTCCCCTTGGGCCTGACATGCCTTTCCCCGGTGGCCCGGTGGCCCGCTGGCAGCTCACTCTCTGGTCCCAGGACTTGCAGGGAAGCTCCTCCAGGAGTAAGATTAGCCCTGCAGATGCTTTTGCGTTCTGGAGGCTGCTGTGGCTGCCAGGAACCCGGAAGCCATCCAGGAAGGGCCTGGCCAGCCCAGGGGACATCACAGGGGTGCAAGCAAGGCCACTGGGGGCAGCAGAAGTCAGTGGGGACCCAACACAGGGCACTGGAAGTGCAGGGAGGCTCCCCCAAAGTTGGATCTGAGTGGCTGCACCGGCGTGCTCAGGCTCTGGGCTACTGCAGAGCAGGGGTGGGTGCTGAAGGGTTCAGTGGGGAGTGCATAGGGTGCTCCCATGCACACTCCATATACCCTCAAACCCTTCTTGCAAACTCCACAGCCACACCCTCCTCCACACAAAATCATACATCCCACAAATACCATACACACACACACACACACACACCCCCCCATAGCTCCCCACAAACCCCACACTCACCTACCCACCCATACCCCCTGACACCCCTGCACACCACCCACACTATACAAGAGTAAGACTGCATTTTGAGCTATTATGTAATCACTTCTATATATACAGCACAAACACACAAATCAGGACAAAAATATATTTTTTAAATTGTATTAAAATATATTATTATAGGTATGTGACTTTTAGTACATCATTTGTTTTTTTCCCAGTTCTAAGATAGCAAACCCTCTTCCCCAAAGGAGTACTTCCAGGGGCAAGGGGAGGGACTTCTGGTGGCAAAGGTTTGAGGTTACGGGCGGGAAGGAAGAGGAGAGGGGGAAGTGTAAATGGTAAGGTCAGACAGGTACCTGGTGAATCAGATGTCAGGCAGGATGTAATGTGTCATAAATCCAATGTCTATACTGAGTCAATGATTTTTTTATCCAGTAGATGTATGAGGTGAAGTCCATAGGCTTGTCTACGAAACATGCTTTGTAAGTTCCCTTCCTCTCCTCCCCTCCTTTTCTACCCTTTGTCTTCCTTATTTCCAGCTATTTACTTTTTTCACAGACTGCCTCTTTTCTACCTTGGAGAAATCATCTACAGTAGAGTCTCCCTTACTTACCTTTGGCATTTTTCCCCCCTCGTTTCTCTCTCTCCCTTCCCTTCTCTACCTATTGATTTCCCAATTTCCACGTATTTACATTCTCACTGACATCTTCCATTCCTTGGAGATCTCAGAACAACAGAGATTCCATATGCCTGAAGAAGGGCGCTTGTGCCCAAAAGCTTGCAAAGAACTTTTTTCCAACTACTCAATTGGTCAAATAAAAGATATCACATCTACTGAAATAAGCTTGCCTTACATTTTTCATGGTTTTCTACAGTTCCAGTTATATTTTCAGTTGGATATATGTTGCCTGTAGTCTCTTGAACTGTAGTTGGTACTGTTCAGTACTATTAAGGTGTGTTATGGATTCTAGAATTAGCTGCATTTTATGGCAGGTTCATAGGTTTATGTATATATGTGTGTGGGTACGCATGTGCATGATCCTGTTGTAGAAAGATTTATTGGAATGAATTTAAGATGACTGCAGTTCCAAAATTTAAAACTCTGTTAGGTAAATCACCCCAAACAGGTGTTGATAGAAATTGTTACATATTCTATATATGGCACATTTGTCAGAAAAAAAAGAATAGAACATTTTAGTAATTTAACATTCTTTACTTTACTGGTGTTTATTAAACTGTAAACCCAATTAGGTAAGACTTTAAGGAAAATAACAAGATTATTTTAAATGTGAACAACAGTTGATTGAAAGATTGAAATAAGCTTTGGAGTTTTTACCACAAAATAATTATAAAAATAAAACTAAGTTAATACGGTAACAGGATCAAGAACGGAGAGGGTCTGAACTTACAGAACTCCATGCACTAGAAGAGAGCTTTTTGTCTGCAGTGCAATGGAAAGAGGAATATAGAGCATATGCAAAGGTAAGCTTGTTTCTTAACATATTTGCATAGAACAGTGGTGCCCTACCTTTTTGCCTAGCAGGCTTGATGGCCAGTGCCCGGTCCATCCATGGGCCAGATTTGGCTGGTATGCCCCACCAGTGACCAGGACAGGTGCAGTTCTGGCTGTCCAGAGGTAGGTGGGAGGCAGCCCAGCCCCAGTCCAGCTGTGTGGGGAGAAGAGGACATGGCCCAGCCACAATTCCGTCCTGTGGGGAAAAGGGTGTGTGGCTTTGCCCTGATTCAGCAGCACAGGAGAAAGGGGACATGGCTTGGACCCAACCCAACCCCATTGGGGGTGGCCTGGCCTTGATTCAGCCATGCAGGGGCAAGGGGACTTGGCCCAACCCTGATCTCACTGTGTAGGGGGAGAGGGTGTGGGATTTTGGTAGTGGGGTAAGATGGCTATAAATGGCCACTGCTTCACCACCAAATTTTCTGACCCATGAGGAGCCCTGCAAGCCAGATACAATGGGTCTGTGGGCCGCATTAGACCTGTGGGCCAAGAGTTGAGTACCCAGGACTTAGTCACAGAATATAGATGTGGGAAAGGTTTTTATAGTGTCTAACTCTTGTCTCATTAACTGCAAGATTGTTTCCTTATTTCTAGTGCTTTGTTCATTTTAATTCAAAATATCTCAAGGAAAACCACCATAGTTCTAATTAAAACACTTCTGTAGAATTTCAGGCAGTTGGTAACACCTGTTCAAGGGCCTCAGACTAAACAGCCTGCTAGTCAGGCTTTTGATGTATATTGGCAGAATTATGTGAAAAAAACAGTGCAGATTTGAAAGGGATGCTATTGAGACACAGAAGTTACATTAAAATGCAATTGAAAGAGTATAACAAATCATGTGGAATAAAAAAAAAGATTATTTGATTTATACCTGAAGCAAGCATTATATACTCAGGAAATTCAGTGTTAATCAGCCAGTAGAGCCTTTATTTTACCTTGTAGTGACATCATGCAATACACATATTGTTATGACTAAGTCATGTTAGTATTTGTTCTCCCAAATTAAATTAAACTGACCTGACAAATTTAAAATGTTTGCATCTATTTTTTTTCCTTTTAAAATTCTCTCTAGTGGGAACACTACATTGGTTGTGATGGGAGTCCTGATCCAGCTGTGCCTCAAGAAATAAATACTTTTATGAGCTTGTGGCGAGAAGATCAAAATGAGGATATTGAGTTTGTGATTGAGAAGGGAAACAAAGTACTAAATGTAAGGATCAAAATAATATTCTTAGGTGTGTGAAATAAATGCTCTATGTATCTCTGCATAGCCATTTGGCTGTAATTGGCTATTCCTGAACTTTCACTACTTTTTTGTGCCATTCTCCCTGTTGTGTGTTGTTTTTACTTTCCTAATTTATCAATTCTATGGTACCCAAACATTCAACATGTTTCCTTTTAGGAACATATAGGTAATGTTTAGAGATGTATTCAATCAAAAGTCTGAATCCAAATAGCTTTTCCCCGTATTTGTGAAAATTTGCATCAGGATCCAGTTTATGTACATTGCAATGCATGTATAAACCCCAAAGAACCACATAGATTCATAGACTGTAAGGCTGGAAGGGACCTCAGACGATCATTGGTTCCAGTTCCCTGCACCAAGCAGAAAAGATAACTGAGGGTCAGGTGACCGCAGCAAGGTGACTGTGTAGTCTCCTATTGAAGATTTCCAGGGTAGGTGATTACACCAACTCTGGAGGGAGCTTATTCCACAGTTTGGCCAACTTGACTTTGAAAAAGTTTTTCTTAATGTTGAGCCTGAATCGATCTTCCAGAAGTTTGTAGCCATTAGTCCTGGTTTTCCCCTTGGGTGCCCTGGTGAACAGTTGCTCAACAAGTCCTTGATTTACTCTCATAGTGTAGTGGTAAGCTGCTACCAGGTCCCCTATCAGCCTTCTTTTCCTCAGGCTGAAGAGTCCTAGATCTCTCAGCCTTTCCTCGTATGGCTTGCCTTTTAAGACTCTAATCATACGTGTGGCTCTTCTTTGGACTCTCTCAAGCTTGTCCACGTCCTTGTTAAAGTGTGGTGCCTAGAACTGGACACAGTACTCCAGCTGCGGTCTCACCAGTGTTGAGCAGAGCGGAAGAATCACCTCGGTTTTGTTGGAGATGCATCAATTGATGCATGCCAAAGTATTATTTGCCCTACTGGCTACAGCATTACACTGCCCACCCCTATTCATACTGTGGTCTATTAATACCCTCAGGTCCCTTTCATTCATGGTGCTAGTCAGTTTGGTGCCACCAGGGCTGTAGGTGCGTTGGGGGTTGCTCATCCCGAGGTGGAGCACTTTACATGTCTCGACATATGATATCTGAAAGCAGAGTGCAAGCATGCTCCACATTACTCCTTTAAAAGGAATTGTAAGGAAATAAACCACTGGTTTGACCTGAAAGCTAATGTAGAAAATTTAACCTCCTTCAGTTAATCGACAAGTTGGATTTTCTGTTATTGGACACTCCACTGAATGAACTACCTGAAAAAAATGTAATTCAATATCAGGAATCGATTTTGGATTTGCAGAGTCTTCTTCATCAGAAATACGATGAAGCAACAGGAAACCTGCTTAAAGTAAGCAAGCTAGCTAAGCTTTATATTTTGGTTGTTATGTTAATCATGACTTGCAATTTTGTACATTGGAATAATTTGAACAAGTGGAAAGTATTTTTTGTTGTTGTTTGTTTTATTTTTGGACTGTGATGCGGATTAGTATATAAGTGTCCCCCCGTAAATGTGTCCAGGATGTTTATAAAGACCGAACACACTCAAAGTATCTTAAACTGGAATTTTAAAATGAACCTAAGGGAGTTGGTTCGACTTCTACTAAATTTCATTAGGATTTGGAATGTGAAGCAGTTAAGAGCCCTATGAAAGCCCTAGCTTTCTTTAATTTGTCCCTGTGATTTATATTAGGAGCAACCACTGATTATACAAAAAAGTTGTAATTCCACAAAATTGTCAGCTACATTAAACCCCAAAATAATTAAGGCCAAAGATTTTCTGCACAATAGAAACTGAATGCACTTATATTTGGAAAATATAAATACTAGCATTTTCTTCAATTAAATAATACATATACAGCAATTGTGTTGTAACTTTTGATTCAACCTCAGAAGTTTAAATGATTTGACTCTGATTCACTGCATAATTAGAACAGCAGCACTGAATCATTGGGTGCATCTACACAAGACGTTTACTGTGGAGCTGCCTAATTAGCTCCTCAGTAAAGTCTCAATGTCTACACGTGTGCCCCAAGTAGTTGCAGTAAATTAATAAACGTCGCTGTAGGTTAGTGCTTGTAAACACTGGGTGTGTGTAGATGAAACGGGGGCCCTAAATTGAAGCGGTGGGTTTTTAAAAACACTGCTTCAATTAAGAGCAAAGTAAACCCCTATGTCATGTACACCAATGTCTTACCTGCCTCTCCTGCAGTGGGGAGGGGAGGGCAAGCTGACG